GCCGTGATCCGTCTCGCGCGTCGGCTCCTACCCGTAGCGCAGCCGCCGCCCGCCAGGTGCGGAAGTGGGCGGGGCCTGGCCTTGGCCTGGCCGGCAGTCGGAGTCGTGGGACGGCCGGGGGTGGATGTGCCGCAGTTGTGGTCGAGCGTTAATATATTAATACGATCAGATACAAGCTATTTCGGCAATATGGCCAGTTTTGACGTTAAATTAATCCCAGAGTTCGATGGGTCAGACGGAGCGTGCGTTCTCGAATGGATAGAGAAGATCGAGATGGTGTGCACGCTCTCCCAGCGCGCAGGAGAAACGGAGACGAGACAAGTCACAAGAGGTCGTCATTCCACTGAGACTGAAGGGAGGCGCGCTGTCTGTGTATCGCCAACTGCCAGAGGAAGACAGGAAGGACCCACAAAAGATCAAGAACGCTCTTAAAAGGGCTTTCGCGCTTGACAAATTTACGGCCTACGAGCGATTCATGGACAGGAGGCTCCGTGGCGGAGAATCAGTGGACGTTTACGTGGCTGAACTCCAGCAGCTCGCGGCCCTTTTTGGGGGAATGAGCGAGGAAGGCTTGTCCTGCGCCTTTGTGGCTGGCCTCCCGATCGCCGTGAAACAGGTCCTGAAAGCTGGAGCCAGGGTCGACTCGCTATCTCTCGGCGAGCTCGCAGACCGGGCTCGTGCAGTGCTCCGTGAAGAATCTGAGGCGGCGGCCATGTTGGCCGGCACACGTTGGATGCAGGTGGCGCCGCCCGGCGGCCGCGGCGCCAGGCGGCGGGGGCCGTGCTTCTCCTGCGGTGAAATCGGCCACGTCGCACGGGATTGCCCCCGATCCGAACACCTCGGGAAGAGTCAGCAACAGCCAGCACCGGGACGCGGCGGTCGGCCGGCCCCTGCACGCGGGGATGGACTCCCGCCCTGCAATGCTACGGCTGTGGAGTGTGGGGGCACATCGCTGCCCGTTGCCCAAACGGCGAGCGAGGGGAGGCGCCTGCGCCGGCCTCCTCTCGGGACTGAGCTACCTCACCGGCGCGCTTCCAACCAGGGAGCTGGAGATCGGAGGGTCGCGGTGTCGACGTGTGGCACTGATCGATTCTGGGTGCACTCGGACCCTAGTGCACGAGTCGGTGTGCCACCAGTGGCGGAGGAGCGCGGCAGAGGTGATCACAGTGAACGGCCAGCGGCTGCAGTGCGAGGGCGCCGCTGAAGTTCGACTCGCGGTGCCGGGCTGCCGCGCAGTGGAGGTGAGCGCCCTTGTTATAAGGGAAAGGCCCCTCGGGTTTGCGGTGATCGTGGGAATGGACGCTATCCGGTCGCTGGGGGGAGTGACCGTGCGCTCGCCCTCTGACGTGCAGTTCGGATGCGAGTTATTCGGCTCGAGCGTGAGTGATGTGCAGTTCGGACGTCGGTCGGTGGCGTGTGCTGCCACAGGCGAGGAGACGGGATTGAGAATCGAGAAGGAAGACTTTGTGGTGACGTTCGACCCGACCCGGCGGCGGTGGGTGATGTCGTGGAAGTGGGCTGGCGGCAGAGCGCCGGGTGAGCTGGGCGGCGCGGTGGACGAGTATCCGGTGCCGGAGGAGGCACGCGCCGAGTACGAAGCTGAGCTGGAGAACTGGATCAGAGACGGCTGGCTAAGTGAATATGACGAGGATGAACTGGGTCCGGCCATGGGCTCGATACCGCTGATGGCGGTCATGCAGCGGACAAAAGTGAGGCCTGTGATGGACTTTCGATCTCTGAACAAGCACGTGCCAGCCTTCACTGGTGACGCAGATGTTTGTGCAGAGCGGCTACGTCGGTGGCGCCAGATGGGAGCGTCCGTGGCGCTCCTGGGCCTGAAAAAGGCCTTCCTCCAAATTCACGTCGAGAAGGCCCTCTGGCCATACCAGACTGTCTGGTTCAGGGGCAGGAGATACGCGCTGACCAGGATGGGGTTCGGCATCAGCGTCGCCTCGTCGGTGATGCAAGCGGTGCTGGACCTGACCGTGGCTCAGGACCCGCGGGTTGCGGCGGCCGTCTCCACCTATGTGGACGACATCCTGGTAAACGAGGACAAACTGCCTGCCACGCAGGTCGCCGAACACCTCCAAATCTACGGGCTGGAGAGCAAAGCTCCACAGCGAGCGAGCGACGGCACCCGCATCCTCGGGCTGAGAGTCTGGGGAGAGCCCGATGGAGACTTGCGGTGGGGCCGAGACAACGATGTCAAGAACGTGCCGAAGCCGCTGACGAAGCGCAAGGTGTTTTCCATCTGCGGGCAGCTGACAAGCCATTACCCGGTGTGTGGCTGGCTCCGCCCGGCCGCGTCGTTCGTCAAACGACTGGCGAATGAAACGGCGAGCCGCTGGGATGACCCCATTGAAGGGGGTCTCGTGCCGCAGCTGGTTGAGGAGCTGGTGGCCAGCGTGAACGCCGCCGACCCAGCCAGGGGGCGCTGGAACGTGAGCGGCGACACAATGACAATATACACCGACGCGAGCTCACTGGCACTCGGTGTGACTGTCGAGGTGGACGGTGAGACGGTGGAAGACGCCAGCTGGCTGCGCCGGGCAGACGACGCGGCTCACATTAATCTCGCCGAACTGGACGCGGTTCTAAAGGGCGTCAACTTGGCCCTTCAGTGGCGAGTCACTGATATGGACATTGTCACAGACTCGCGCACAGTGTGGCAGTGGGTGTCAGACGCGCTCAGTGGCAGGGCACGTCTCAGGTCCAAGGCGGCGTCAGAAATGCTCATCAGAAGACGGCTATCAACTCTCAAAGCCTTGAAGGATGAGTACGGCCTGAGCATTCGCATCAGGTGCGTGCCCTCAGCAGCCAACAAAGCCGACGCACTGACCCGGGTGCCTGGGAAGTGGCTGCGCGAGCGAGACGCTGCAGGGTCGCTCCCCGATGTGACCGCGGCGCGCAGTATCGCAGCCGCCGTGTCGGCGGACCCGGCCACCGGCGGCCGGCGACAGCTGGTCGGCAGCGCGGCAGACAGAAATCTCCCCGGCTCTGCCAGCGCCGGCCCGGCGGCGGACAGGTCGGCTGAGCCGCCGGCCGCGCCCGGCGAGACCGGAGCGGCGAGCAGCGAGACGCCGGCGGCCGCCACCGCTGGCTCGGCCGCGGCGAGTCAACCTACAGGCGAGGACGGCGACTCGACACGGAGAAAGATCAGTGAGATGCACCACACGGCCGGACACCCGGGCGTTCGGAGAACATTTTATTTTGCGAGACGAGTGCTGCCGGGAGTCGCAAAGAGTCTGGTTAGGAGTGTAGTGTCTAACTGTGAACTCTGCCGTTCTATTGACCCTGCGGCTGTGAAGTGGCGGAAAGGGGTCCTGAGTGTGGAACGGGTGTGGGACAGAGTGGCGATGGATGTGACCCATGTGCGGGGCAGGGCATATCTGACCTTGATAGACTGCGGCCCGAGCCGGTTCTCCATATGGCGCCCGTTGAGGCTGCAGACGAGCTCTGCAGTGGTCGAGCAGCTGACCTCTGTATTTTTGGAAAGAGGGGCGCCGAGAGAGCTGCTGGCCGACAATGACCCCGCGTTCCGCAGCCGAAGGTTTCATGCCTTTGTGACAAACTGGGCGGTACAGCTCCGCTTCCGCTGTGCGCATGTGGCGTCAGGAAACGGCGTGATCGAGAGATGCCATCGTAGCATTAAAGTGATCGCTGCTCGGAAAAACTGTACTGTAGCTGAGGCAGTATACAGATACAATGTTACCCCGCTGAATGACCAGACAGCCGACTCTGCACCGGCAAATTTGCTATACCGATATGAGCTGCGCATACAAGGTCTCGATGACCAGGCGACGCCGGTGCCCCGTGTGTGTGAAACGCCTGACGGGGAGGGACGTGACCGCTCGCTGTATCGCCCCGGGGACAGTGTGTGGGTCCGACCGCCTCGTGCTCGCTGTAACACGAGATACGAGAGAGGACAGGTGACTCGTGTCATCTCCGACCAGTGTGTCGAAGTGGATGGGGTGCCGAGACACGTCCGAGAACTACGCCGCCGTTCACGCTCAGAGTGCGGCACCGGTGACGCGGAGAGTGACGAGAGTGATGGTGAGCCGTTAATGCTGATTTGGCCCCGAACTGCAGGAGGGGACGAGCGTGATGGGCGCGGTGAGAGGGACGAGCGTGACCTGCCAGGTGCCGATGGGGATAATGTACATAGCGATGGCGAGGGAGACGTGTTCGAGCCGCCGCGCCCGAGAATGTCTGGACGGATCCGTAGGCCGAATCTCCGCTACTCTGAGTGCTGCTGACATGTATGACTTGAAAGTCAGGGGGAGTGTGTGATGTGTGTGTGATGTGTGAGCCATGGTTCAGCGGGCTTTGGCCCGTATAGTGTTATTTACGGGTTAGCGGGCCGTGATCCGTCTCGCGCGTCGGCTCCTACCCGTAGCGCAGCCGCCGCCCGCCAGGTGCGGAAGTGGGCGGGGCCTGGCCTTGGCCTGGCCGGCAGTCGGAGTCGTGGGACGGCCGGGGGTGGATGTGCCGCAGTTGTGGTCGAGCGTTAATATATTAATACGATCAGATACAGCTAGGGGTTTACAAGTTATAATGAAGCTCTTCAAACATCGCGTTATCAATTCGCAACTCAAGACCCCTGGTAGAAGTCAACAAGCTAGATCGCCCATGAAAACAGGAAAGCGTAGATTACTTGGCTAGCCACTGTTGACATGTATCGGCGGATATGACGACGTCTGCTACTAAATGAAGTCGTGAGGCCAATTTTACCAACAGAAAAATAGCCACCTGCCGGATTTTTTTTTTTTTGCCTAGAGACCGCTTCACATACGGAGCGTAAAGGCGATGGACACGTAAGCGGATAGGGCTTTACCGCTTACGCTCCGTATGTGAAGCGGTCTTTAGGCAAAAAATTCCGGCAGGCGGCTATTTTTCTGTTGGTAAAACTGGCCTGTGGTTGAGAAATACGCACTTCTCCGCCGATCACAGCTTCAAAACTCCTTCCAAACCTTCAAACACCTGCCAGAGAAACTGCATGAGCTGGTCTAGAAAACAAAATGGGTTTTATTTGGTATCTCTCAATAGAAGACGTACTGGTTTGCCTGCCGCTACGGACAACCACGCGAATAAGGCGTGAACATATAGACAACATGCCACGTTCACATACATCTGAGACCAGGAAACGCGGGGCCAAAGAATCACAACGAAATAATTCGGACATGTAGAACCGAACCGAAAGTAGAGTCGCTTAGCGATTATCAATGCCGTCAAAATACACACGTGCTGTCATATTAGCAGACATTTAGCGGGGAGCGTACATGTGATCAATTATACGTCAAGCAGTTCATAGCGTCACGCGTTGTAGGAACCGGACACCAATACGTAAATAATAATACATGTCAGAGGACAGGCAATTTTGTTTAGGGTCCACAGACCATTTCGGTGCACGATTTCTCAATACACCGCTGATTTGAGAAGAGCGATCAAATTTACAACACTGCAACAACCAAACTGAAAACATGGAACGCTAAAGGGGAATGAACGGTGGTTCCGCAAAACAAAACACCAACGCACAGGATCTACCATCGACGAAGCGGATTCTAACAATAAGATCAAGTTATAATGCGGTCAAGCTTGATATAGGAGTCCCCGGCAGTCGAAGATCCCGAAACTACACTATCCACACGGTTGGAACACCGCCCGCTTCCCGACGAGGGATTATTAGGAGCCCTGGGCACCACCCCATGCACTCATGCAGCCTCATCTCTACTTGCGGCCCGAAATAGGGAAAGCTCTGACACCTTATCACATGATGTCCAGAGCACACTTCACAAGATGCTAGACAGGATCTCTTTAGCGCTTTCGGATATCTTGTCAGGAAACTTGATATCGAATGTAACGATTAGGTCTCCGCGCCGGTTCGGCTCTTTGGGGTAGGGCAGACCGCGGCCGAGCAGGCGGCGCGTGGTGGTCGGCTTGATGACCTCTTTGGACAGGTCGAGCGGCACCTTCTCCCCGGTCAGCGTGGGGATCATCACGGTGGTGCCGCACAGCGCGTCCTTCAGCGTCACCGGACACGCGTACTTGATGTTGGACTCGTCCCGCTTGAACACCGCGTGGGACTTGTCCCGGATGATGAAAACCACGTCGGCGGGAATTTTGCCGTGCCCCTGGTCTCCCTCGCGCTGGAATGTGATCTTGGTGCCGGCCTTCCATCCGGGCCGGACGTTAATGGCCAGTACCTTGTCCTCTCGGTTCAGCGACTGACCGTCGGGGCTGAGCACCTTCCGCGAGATCTTCATCTTTTTGGTGCAGCCCTTGGCGATGTCCTCCAGCGCCACGTAGAGGTCGTGCTCGAGCGCCGGGTCCTGCTGCTGGCGCGCCTGCTGACGCTGCTGCTTCGGCGGCGGGCCCGTGTGGAACGACTGGGAGCGGAACGTGCTGGGCCGCGGGCCGAACGGACCGCCGCCGTCTCCGGCGTCCATCTCCTCGTCGAAAATGACGCCGCTGCCGCCCATGCCCTGTGTGAAAATGGTCTCGAACGGGTTGTTGGTGCCGAAGAACTGGGCGAAGGTGGCGCGCGGGTCGCCGTGGTACGCGTAGGTGAAGCCCTGGCCTCCACCCATGCCGCCCATGCCACCCGGCTGGCCCATCCCTCCGCCGCCGCCGCCGCCCATATTCCCCTTCAGACCCTCCTCTCCATACTTGTCAAAGATCTCCTTCTTTGTTTTATCACTCAGAATTTCATAGGCTTCAGCGATGTCTTTGAACTTTTCTTCAGCACCCGGAGACTTGTTTTTGTCTGGATGGAACTTCAGTGCCATTTTCCGGTAGGCCTTTTTGATTTCATCATCGGAAGCATTACGTCCGATGCCCAGCACCTTGTAGAAGTCTTTTCCCATGTCTTCCGCTCTTAAAGAAGCACTTCTATGTTCTATTCCTGAAACAAATTAAAGAGAATTAGGATTCCATTTGAATTCAGATGACCCTGAAAGGATTTCTAACAACAACCAGGAATACGATGTAGATACTTCTTAAAAAGATACATGGATCAACTGATTTCAATCCCCATAATCGTGAATAGGGGTCAGGCAATTCATCTAATTTATGTATTTTAAGCATTCATATATATTACTGACAGCTTAGCATAGTCATATAGTGTGTTACAAATATTGTTTTTACAACATAACAAATCAGGTAAGGTTAGGTTGCTCGTTTAATATGGCCTACATTGTGTATGCTTGGTCAACTTCCCTACATGGAATACATGGAAAACTTTTGCTTTTAACATCTGGGCCACTTTAAACATATCCTTTACAAAGATGGAAATAGCATTGTGGGGTATTTGAGTACCTAGTGACATTTAAAAATCTTGTGTAATTTCTGTAACATGAAAAAATATAAGCAATTTCAACAATTTGTTTTGGTGGGTCTATGTAAATTAGCAAGCAGAAATAGATTGTTTTGATTAAAAAAAAGTTTTCTTTCTAATAAGCAGTCTGCATGAAACACAACATTCACCAACCATTAACCAATGGGCTTCACTTCCTTGGCAGGAGTTCTATAGCCTTGAACCTACCTACCTTTAACTCAGTTGGTTGGTTTGGGTTAAGCACCATATCCAGTGGACCAAGTACTAAACACCTAACCCGCGCTCTGCTGGGGGGGGTGTTTGAACACCCCCCCCTTGTGGTTTTTTGCAAATATCTCAAAAACGGCGGCGCTCCGCTCCGCCGTTTTTGGTACACCTTGTCATACATCAATTCTACACATGTTGTGAAAATTTCAGACCAAGGTCATTCAAGGTCAGGTCACCAGGTCACTTGAAGTGACCTCACCTCATAAAAAGTTTCAATGTCTGTCATAGCTACATCGAGTGACCGATCGCTTTGAAACTTTCAGCGATTGCTAAGAGCAATAGCATGTACAAAATGTATATCTCAGAATTTTGATATCGATGACCTAAGGTCAGGTCAATTTTGCGACCTCCCCATTATAAGTCAATGGGAGAAAATTGAAATGCGCCTCTTTTGGACGAAAGACATTATAAACACTCCCAAATACCGAATTACAAGTGGTTTAGACACACTGAACATGAAAATGGTGTCCATGACCCTTGTTTATGCCCTGAGGTCATCTTAGGTCACGAATAGTATCTAACAGTTTTTCGCAAATAACTTTTGATAGAGGCATGCTAGAGCGATGAAAACGCCTTAGATGTGTTCAGCTCGACGATACGGATCGACTGATATGCAACATGACCCTTTCCGGTCAGGTAATGACCTTGACCTGAGGTCAAATTTTCAAGTTGACCTTTCAAGGTCAAGTTATGGTTCATTCGATGCGTCTTGACGAGAGAAACACGATGCTGGTAAAAGTAAGCTCGTACAGGGCTTAGGTCAAAAGTTATTGCAGAAAAACTGTTTCCAAAAAAATCGGCTATTTTTGCAGTTTTTGCCCCCTGCAGGCAAAACCGTTGACGTTAGGTCAAATCTGAGAGAATTACTCAGAAAGGGCGTTAACCCGGCAGGCGGTGGGCCTACCAGGCACCTTCCGCGCGGTGGGGGGGGGCACTTTTTTGCCCCCCCCCCGTATCTCCGAAACTACTGGACGGATCCGGAAAATTCAAACGGCGTTCGATAGCCCTGTCAAATTTGTCGAAGGAAACCAAATTTCATTGACCTCGGGGTCACCGATGACGTCACAGGTCAGGTCAAAGATAAAATGTTTCACCGTTCACGGGGCTTCTAGGGAAAGCGCTATAACACCGAGTAAAACGCATTTTGTCGAAAATCAGCGATAAGGCGTCAGTTGTCTAGTACATATGCTGCTATTAGAGGTCACTGGTCATACCAGGTCAGGTCACAGGTCAGGTCACCAAAGGTCACCAAGGGTCACCACATGAGCCCAACTTTACTGAGGTTATGCGATGCATGTTTTATGGCCAGTTTTTCATTTCCAACTCAATGGTGTTGGTTATAAGACCATCAGGTACGGTTTAGGTCACTTTCTGGTGGAGGTCAGGTCAAGGTCAGGTAAAAAAAGGTCAAATTTCAAAGTTGATATTTTTCCATAAAATGGGTATCGATTCGATGCAGCTCGTCACGGGGAGTGTAATGGTGGTCTTTGTTTTGCGCTACGAGGTCTAGAATTGCTAAAAATTGAGTTTGAAAATTTGACGTCATCAATTTTGAACAGTTTTTTCGCTATAACTTGGCCAAAAAAAGATGTATCGATCTCAAATTCAGTATGTAGATAGAAGGCGGTAGGGGCTATCACATATATTCCGGTTTTTTCGAAATTCAAAAAACTTTTTGGATTTTTTTGGCTATTATATTCAAAAAATCTATTTTTTGATTTTTGGGGGGTCAAAATCCAAAAAATTCGAAAAACCGAAATAGCAGTTTTGTAGCCCTTTTAATTCCACACCTTTTATGTCTCAAATATTTTTCTGTATCTCTAAAGCTGTAGGCCTGACAGCTCTTCCCGCGAAACCTTTTTTTTTGGGTCGAAAATGGCAAAAATGACGTCACTCTGACGTCATTAGCGGCCAACCTATCATAGCCTTTGGAAAAATTTTTGGTCACCATGTGCGCTAGCTGCTCCCGGGAGGGTACTGAAAGTTTGGTGACGATCGGCGCAGCGGTTCTCGAGATATATCGAAAAAACTAAAGGGGGGGGGGGGCAAAAAAATGCCCCCCCCCCCACCGCCTGGAAGGTTAATAGGGCTATCGAATGCGCTTTTCCGCGGCGCTGTAGCTCTATTGGTTCCCGAGTTATGCGTTGGCTTCTTGGAAATTTTCGACATTCGACCTGGAAATCGGCGAAATTTTGCCTTCAATGACCTCTGGTGACCTGACCTTTGACCTGACCAAAAAATTGACCGAGGTGATTTCGTCATTATTTTTGACGCTCTTTCGAACGCCGCCTTCCGCGTATCGCTACGTGGCCCAGGAGCCGAGTTACAAGGGGGGTGTTCAAACACCCCCCCCCCAGCAGGGCGTGGAAATCCAGGACCCCCAGCCGGGCGCGGGTTAACTCACTATCAATCACTTCATCTGTAAGTCAGTACAATAAAAACATTTACCCATGTTTAACACGCGCACCGACGGGGGGGCGGATATCCGTCCCCCCCCCCCTGAGGTTTTTCGCGAATAGCAGGAAAACCGCGGCGCGTAGCGCCGCGAAATTTGGTGCGACTATTCTCTCATCAATTTTACACATGGTGTGCAAGTTTGAACCTCCAACTTTTAAGGTCAGGTCACCAGGTCACTTTGAGTGACCCAACCTCAAGTTACTTTTTTGCAACTTTCTCACCGTGCCAGAGCTACAGTAGATGTCGGAGGCCTTTGAAAGTCGCAGGGTGTTATAAGGTCATTAGTAGCTACAATTAGTATATCTCGGAATTTTGATATCGATGACCTAAGGTCAGGTCAATTTCTCGACCTCACCATTATAAGTCAATGGGGGGAAAATCAACTCCCTGTTTTTACCACTAAAACGGGTCGGAATGGCCCCATAAACCATACATGACCTCATATACGATTAACCTTCACTACCTTGAGGTCTGTTTTGCTATTGGGCAGCTGTAAGGTCATGTGACGTCATCAAAGGTCACCAGCGGTTTTTTGACAACTCCGTACAGGAACAAGATACAGCCGCGCGGATGGTCTCATTGTGTTCAGCTCGTCAAGGCGCATCGAATGATATACATGATGACCTCGAGGTCACATGACCTGAGGTCAACCTCTGACCTTGACCTTTCGAGGTCAACATATATATCATTCGATGCGGATTGACGAGAGGATCACGATGATGCCTTTAGTTTGTTCCTACATTGACTAGTTCGAAATTTATTCGAGAAAAACTCTCCCTATACCTAGCGCCGCCATTTTGACTTTTTTGACCCCTGTGACGTCATCTTTGACCTGACCTGAAAATGACCTTTGTAAAAATTGTAGACCTTGTCCGTGCGTATCCGATGCCGTTTACCGCTTGTCGCTATCTTGCTTCGTTCTTGAGATCTCAGGGGGGGGGGGCGGTCATCCGCCCCCCCCCGTCGGTACGAAGTTGGCGCAGACCCCCGTCGGTGCGCGGGTTAATATTCAAGGTATGCTGTGTTAAATGTAACCAAATAAAATCATCTTTGTTGCTGCTCCTGTTTCACGACATGCTACTATAGTTATTTTCTTTTAAAAGTTACAGTGGTTTAGCTCCAAGTAAGTAAGAACAGTTTTTGACTTATCAAGCTTTTTGACCAGCAAAAGGGAAACAACTGTAGAGAAAATCATAGTTGCCAAATTCTGACATATGAATAACTTGCAATTAATTTCATTTGATTCATATAATATTGAAACATTGGTGATACCATGCTGTCGAGCTTGCTTTGCAAAATGTGATTCAGGAGTGGACAGTGAAAGATAAACTTGCAGCTGCAAGAATGACACAACATGTAAACTACATTCCCAGTAACTATTTATATACACTATGTCCGTGAACTTAGCGACGTATACGTATACGTATTCAGCGACGAATTCCAAATCACTTCAGATTCATGGCATGGGTTAAGTTGACCATGCCGAACACGAATATGACATTTATTTTAACTTTTGAGCTGATCTTCATGGTTAAAATCCGGTTTAAATGACGGGGAACCGCATAACGTCGCGAAAATAAAAACCCACGAATTCCAAAGTATATGTAAAATGTAGAGCTCGTCCAGATCTAACGTCCGTGGAAGAATCCAAGCTCGTGGCTCAACGCCTTCATGGTTAAAATCCGGTTTAAATGACGGGGAACCGCATAACATCGCGAAAATAAAAACCCACGAATTCCAAAGCATGTGCAAAATGTAGAGCTCATCCAGATCTAACGTCCGTGGCAGAATCCAAGCTCGTGGCTCTTTAACTTCATGGTTAAAATCCGGTTTAAATGACGGGG